GCCTCGTAGGTCATGTGCTCCAGCCCCCTAATCATTTTGGTTGCCCTCCACTGGACCCTCTCCAATGTGTCCACATCCTTTCTATAGTGGGGTGGCCCAGAACTGGACACAATACTCCAGATGTGGCCTCACCAGAGCTGAATAAAGGGGAATAATCACTTCTCTAGATCTGCTGGCAATGCTCCTCCTAATGCACCCTAAGATGCCATTAGCCAGGACTTAAAAACCTAGATAGAGATTCCACTATCTCCCTAGGGAACACTTTCCAGTGCTTCACCACCCTCCTAGTGAAATCGTTTTTCCTAATATCTAACCTAGACCTCCCACACTGCAACTTGAGACCATTGCTCCTTGTTCTGCCATCGGTCACTACTGTGAACAGCCTCTCTCCAGCCTCTTTGAAACCTCCCTCGGATAGAACGAGAGTATTTCCTTTAGAAAGAGCTCCGGTCTTGATTTAAAGACTCCAAGTAATGGAGGGTGACCATATTTTCCTAAGTAAATGGCTCTAACAGTTAATGACCCTCACATGTGCACCTTGTACCCTCTTTGCTTTGACTTCCAACTGTTCGGTTGTGGTCTACCTTTGTCTGCTAGATCCAACAGACAGGAGGGAACCAAGGTGGGAATCTGAGAGGTGGCAGAGGAAGAGGTCACAGGAAGTGAAATGGGAGATGGATGACCCAGGAGGTGTGCACAGACATTTTAGAAGATGGGACGGAAAAGAAGGGCCGGATTTTCCATGGGCTGGGCAGGAAGGAGCAGTAGCACAGGCAGACTCCTGGAAGTTTGAGGAACAGAGGGAGGAAGGGTGTCAGAGATGAAGTCCCAGTTCCAAGCCTTAGTGACTGGCCGAAGGGTGGTGTTGTCAGCAGCCATGGGGGTGGGGAGGGGGAAATGGAGGTGGAGGAGGCTTCTGTGGGCAAATAGATGCTCATCGTTAGCTGTGGTAAGTCTGAGCTGGGGGAAGGGTTAAGAACATGGCCGATGGTGTATCGGAAAGATGCGGGACTGGCTGGTAGGAGACAGATCAGATATGGAGAACATTTTGAGCCATCATCTCTGGGATGACACTGTGGTAGGGATGTAGTGTTAGCCAGTCGCTAAATACGAGGGGAGAGGATGAGATGTCCGTGGGACTTATTCCACTTGCGGCGGGATCTTGTATCTTCTTTTGAAGGCTCTGATATTGGACACTGTTAGAATCAGGATTTTGCACTGGAGGGACCTTGGGTCTGATCTGGCTGATGCGTTCCATTTTCCTGTGCAAGTGGATAAAACTGCTTGGGAATAATCGGACCTTTTCTCAGAGCCCTGAGGCAGAACATTCACAAATCAGTATTTTGATGGCCTGTGGCTCAAGCGGCCGCTTGCCATTTCAGAGATACAAGCTTTGATGTAGCCAGTAGGGTGAGCAATGCTATTGCTGGTTCTTCCAGGGCCTTTCTTCTTGTGATAAATGCCCCTGCTTGGGCTATTTATTACAGTGAATTCTACATAATGGTGAACTAGTGAGTAAAACTGGAAAATAACTAGGCTTGGAAGAAACAACAAGGAATTCTGTGGCACCTTAAAGACTCAGATTTATTTGGGCATCAGCTTTCATGGGCTGGAATTTGACAAAGTGGGTTCCAGCCCATAAAAGCAGTCTGTTGCTGAAACAGCCTAACATGGCTACCCCTCTGAAACTAGGTTTGGGAGGATTCACTTTTGATGGGTGAATGTTGATAGACCATGATTTCACCAAACACATGCAAAATGACACAAAAATATTTCCTTCAGTTTTATAGAGGGGCAAAATAAGGCCTTGTCAACGCTATAAGGAAGAATGCCACTGCTTGGATTGATCTTCTGGTGTTTGACTTAGTGAGTCTAGTTAAGACTTGCTAAATCAAACTCAGAGGACGCCCCTGCCTGCGTCAAGTACTCCTCTTTTTGCGAGGAATAAGGGAAGCCAATGGGGCGTTTGCTCCCATTGGCCTCCTGCTGTGGGGATGCCAGGAAGCTCGATTTATGGTATGACTAGCTCAGTCATATTATGGATCCAGCATTGTCCCCTCAGCTAGACAAAAACAATTCTTTGGGGTACATTTTTATACAGCGATACAAACAAGTTATACGTCATTCCTGACATATCAGCTTGCCACCTTCTGTTGCCTCGTTACCACCCCTCACCTCACACAATTGCTCATCTGAAGAAGTGAGTTGTGCCCATGATATGCTATATCTATATATTTTTTGTGAGTCTCTAAGGTGCTATAGGACCACTCTTTTTTAGTTTTTATGGGTTTTTTTTAAGTTACAGACTAACACAGCTACCCCTCTGAGACTTTTATCCATCATGCTGTCAATTTAGACCTGGTCCTGAACCTGGGTTGGTATGTTCTTGTTATCTGTGAGGTGTGAGTTGGCATTGAGATGTTTCTTCTTGAGGTGTTTTGTTACCACCCCTCTGGAATGTGCTTACGGCCTGTGCCTAGCACCACTTAGGTCTGAGTGGTTCTGTCATATCAGCCCTGTTCTTGCCAACTTTAGTGAGCAGGCCTGCCTCTTGCTCACAGCTTAGCTCTGATTTATATTTGCAAAGTCTCGACCATTGCTGTCTAAGCCTCACTCATCATACCTGGCCTGTGATATGTTTTTGTTTTAGGCAGGGCCGGATTAAGACCTTTAGAGGCCCTAAGCACTGAAGAGATGGCCCCTCGTATGTAATTCAAAACAAAAACAATACTATACCGTCAAATAAAATTTTATTTTTCGAAATGACACAAAACGTGTGTGTCTGCTGAAATGAAAATAGCTTCTTTCTAGATTTTCTGATTGCAAAATTCTGGATAAGTTCATCGAAGCTGACTCGACGAAGCATATCCGTGTCCATACACAATAGGGAAAGTGAATCAAGTCTGTCCTGACACGTTGTTCTCGGAGGGTTTTTTATTCTTTTCCGCTGAGAAAAAGAGCGTTCTGCGGAATTCTGATTTTTTTCCCATGATGACGACTTCGATATCAAATTTTTTCCAACAAAAAAAATCTGGGTTTTTTTGGTGCCCCTGCTTTGCTGGTGCCCTAAGCATGTGCTTAGTCTGCCTACTGGGTAATCCAGCCCTGGTAGGCCCTCATCTTACTACATGGATTACATACCTTAAGCTGAGCTGCCGGGTCTAGGTTAGGCTTGGCCTAAGAAACAGTGTTGCTTAGGAACTTAGAATCAAAATCCAGTGAGTTACGGCTTTTGGACAAGATGGACAAGGCTGGAAGAAACAAAATATCGGTATACCCATCTTGCACGTGAGGACCTGAGGCACAGATTGCTGAAGGGACTCACCCAGGGAGGCTGTTGCAGAGTCAGGAACTGAATTTAGATCTGAGAACGTAGAAAACATAGACAAAAACTTTGGAGGCTTGGTTTTGTGGGGATTTAATTTTCTGTGTTGCAACATCTCATGATTTTATCATGAGCCTTATCATGGTGTTTTCCTTAAAGCCCAGTTTCTGGAGTGAGATGGCCCTAGGAAAATCTCAGCACTTACTTTTTTAAAATCAAGTTGCTAGCTCATATGTCAAAGCTCAAGTACCCCGCCCATTTATTATTTTTAGAATTTTACAATGTGTAGGACAATCTCATGATTTTAATGATTAGGGCTATTCATAATGCATCTGGCTCATAGACAAGTATTTTTAAATCACAAATTTCCATTCCCATGTTATTTATAACCTCTCAGATAACTGAGAATGAATCTCATTTACTTTTTGCCGCTTGTTTACTTTTGGGTTTATTATTTTCCTTTCCCCCACTTAGACAAGAAGGCTAGACAGATCAATTTCAATTTTGTTTATAGTCAGTTTCACCTTGTCATTATATTTTTGTCTTTCAGCAGCACAGTGCAATTGTACCTGTAAAATTGTCCCTGCCCCAAGGAGCTTACAACCTCAGCAGCAGTACAGTGTTGAAACATCTGGATCTCAGGCGTCTGCCAAGAATGTTGATTTGTTACTGTTGTTTTAAAAGTAGAATTCACCAAAACTATTATTTTTTTAAAAACAAGAAGTGGGCTGTGCCCAGGAAAGCTCATGATCCCATCTACATGTTTTGTTAGTTTTTAAGGTGCTACTAGACTATTTGTTGTTTTTTAAGTTTTTCCTGTTACAGACTAACTCGGCTCCCCTAAGCTTTTGAATATTATTTCTGCAGTTCTAGAGGCTGCTTGGACTCCATGGGTTTGACTATTTGGCACAGCTTGGAAACTAAGCTGGTTCTCAGATCCTAGATGCCTACCACCTGAGCTAAGAAAAAAGTCTCCCTTGCTGTATAGGGTCTATGACATGCTGGTTCGATACCCCGCCTGTGGAGTATATCTTCCATGCAACTATTTCTACAGTCACACTTTGAAGGCTGAAACAAAAAACAGGACTATGTAGCACTTTAAAGACCCACTTCGCTCATCACCTATTAAACCATCTTGTTAGTCTTTAAAGTGCTGCATAGTCCTGTTTTTTGTTTCAGCTACACCAGACTCACACGGCCACATTTCTATCACTTTGAAGGCTCTTAGTCTATCACCTGCTATATTGGGGAAGCAAAATGCAGGACAATGTAGCACTTTAAAGACTAACAAGACTTTAAAGACTAATAAACCATCTTGTTAGTGTTTAAAGTGCTACATTGTCCTGCATTTTGCTTCAGCTACCCCAGACTAACACGGCTTCATTTCTATCACTATTCTATATTGGGGAGGTCTTTAGGTGACGCGGTTCTGTTTTGGGGCTGTGGGCTTATCTCCAGCATCAGGTAAACACTCCACCGCAGGCTGCCCCGGCCAAGAAAGAATGTGCGGATCTCCCTATCAGCTCCCCCAGTCCCCGCGGGGAGTAAATACACACGGCCCATTGTCTCTCCAGGAGAGCTGCCGGTGATTCAACGCGCGGCTGCAAACTCCCAAACCAGCGCAGACGCCGCTGAGTCACCTGGCCCAGCGAGAGGGAGCCGCAGGGAGCCGGGGGATTGAAAGGGCCGCTGGTGCGAGCCCGGAGCAGGGCAGGCAGCCGCGTCTGGGTGCGATCGCAACCTCCGCTCTACCGGAGCAGGGCTCCCCAGCTGCGCCCCTGGCCGCGCAAAGCACAGCTGCTCGCCAGCCATGCGCGCTCTCCGCCTCGCCGCCCTGTGCGTTCTCCTGGCCCTGCAGCCGGCGGATTGCCAGCAAGGTAGGTGGGATTTGCTGCTTTTCGGGGGGGATCGGGGGTGCACTTGCTGATCCCGGAGGGGGGCTGCTCTTTGCTGCCGCAGCCACTACGGGAGTGGCCGCAACCCGCTGTCCTGGGGCACCGATAGAGACGAGCCCACCCTGCGTTTCCGTGCGTAAAACCCACCTCACCTAGGGGAAGGAGATGGGGCTGAAAGACACTTTGCGGCGGGGGGTAAGGCCCAGGGGTTCACCCCCCCAAGCCTGCTTCCCAGCAGTCACCTCTCCCACACCCTGAACCCTTCACTTCGACCCCACCCCAAAGCCTAGAGGGTCCCACAAAATCTGCCAGCCCAGCCCCCTTCCCTAGGCTCTGGTGTGCCAAGGAAATGTGGAACATGTCATTCTGCTTCTCAGTGTGTGTGTGTGGGGGGGGCCCCCAACTGGTTTTTCTGTGGGTCAGTGGCTTTGGGCCAAAAACGGTTTCCCACCTCTGGTTTATCAGATGCTCTGGCAGGGGCACAGAGGAATCACAGAGTTTGTGAATATTTCATGTTAAGCTCTGCAGTCACTGGGGGCACGGAGGGGAGACGTGTTTGCTGGGCAATCTAGTGGAGACAGCTTACCAGAAAGACCCAGGTAGCTTTTACCACCCTGAGCCTGTGGCTACCTCCAGTCTGGAGCTCAGCTCCATGGAGATAAAACCTCCTCCGGCCTTGTCTTCATAGAGCTAGCAGGTTGGCAAGAAAAGCACATTCTTTTATTTCAGGACACAGCGGTAGGTTTTTGATCATTCTTGCTCTGGGACCAGGGCTCTGATACTTTCCAGATGCCGACAGTCCTTTCGGAGTCAGACCGGCCTGGCGGGTTCCCAAGCCACCCCCCACTTAAGAACAACTTACTTCCAAAATCAGATATCCAAAATTGTCACACACATTAGTACCCAACACGTGCCAACTTTCTCCTTTTTTTTTTTTTGTTTTTGTTTTTAAACCACAGAACTGTAAAATAAATCCACTGAGACATTCATCTGGCACTTGCATTTCAGGGTATAGTGCAGGGCTGGGCAAAATACAGCCCGGGGGGCCAGATTCAGCCTGCGGACTCCCTGCTTGACTCGCTCCTGTACCTCCACGTTGGCTGCCGCAGCCTTTTCTCTTTCTCAGCTGTGAGCTCCTGGAGGAGTGGGAGTGGTGCTTCACGGGATGCTCCCGCCCCCTGCACAATCCCATTGGCCAATTTCTGGCTAATGGGGGCTGCCTGTTTGACGAACAGGCAGCTTGCGAGGCACCCTGGCCTCCTCCCCTCAGGCAGGAATG